ACTGCTTGTCCGTAGCTGCCGCTGTTGGGCACAGAAGGCTTGGGTGGCATCGCAGGCGAGGTCCCAGGGCGACCGTCGGGAGGGCGTTGACGGATCCGATGAACTGCGAGCCGCGGTTGGAGATGTACTTCTCCCGAGTCCCATGGTGCCGCCAGACGTTCCGGTAGTAGAGGCGGGCTGCCCCTACTGCATCGACCGTCGTATGACACTCTGAGAAGTGGGCGCGCTTTCCGAGGGTGTCAACGACGACCATGATCACGTCGTACCCATGGGCTTCGGGAAGCTCTACGATGAAGTCGACGGAGACGGTATGCCAGCGTTCCGGGGGCGTTTCCGTGGGGTGCAGCTCTCCGTGGGGCAGTCTCCGGAGTGCCTTGGTGTGACAGCACAAGTCACAGGTCGCAACATACCGGCCGATATGGCGAGACATCTGAGGCCACCAGTAGTTCCGGGAGACCAACTCCAGGGTCTTGAAACGACCTGCGTGTCCGGCGACTCGGGTGTCATGGCGGAGCTCGATGATGCGTCTCCGGAGGTCCTTATCCTTTGGTACAACAATCTTCCCTCGGAAATGGAGAAGACTGCCAGAGACGGCCCACTCGTCAGACCGTGAGGAGCGGGGGCCTCGAGCTTGACCTTGAACCTTAAGAAGTTGCCGGGCCGCTAGTGCGACGGGCTCCTCCAGGTCAGGCTCACCGGAGAGGGCATCACAGATGTCGCGGAGGAGTTCAGAGCCAGGACTGGAAACGGAAACACCCTCGAGTGCGCGGACGTGGAAGAGTTCAGGCCGCAAAAGGACGACATCGGAGTTGTCGGAATCGACTCCGTGGTCGGGTCTCCGGGAGAGGGCGTCAGGTTGACCCATGTCGCGGCCAGGCTTGTGGTGCAGCGTGAAATCGAACCGGGAGAGGTACAGGGACCACCGGGCCTGTCTCCAGTTGAGGTGCTGCGTCTTCCTGAAGTACTCCAAATTCTTATGGTCAGTCCAAATCTCGACAGGGTGCGCGGCGCCCTCGAGGAAGTGTCTATACTCCTCGAGTGCGCGGATGATCGCGAGCATCTCCTTGCAAGGGTCGAGAAGTCCCGAATGAACCTGCGGTAGAAATTAGCGAACCCAAGGAACTGCTGAATGTCCTTCTTGTTTTCCGGAGTCGGCCAAGCGGAGACGCCTGCGACCTTGACGGGGTCCATTTCGACGTGGTTATGGGAGATGATGACTCCGAGGTACTCGATTGACGATTTTTCACAGTCGCACTTCTCCGCTCGGAGGTACAACTTGTGCTCTCAGAGTCGCCGCAAGACCTCCTGAACGATCTGCCGGTGTTTCCGGAGGTCGGAATGGGCGATCAGGATGTCGTCAAGGTAGATCATGACGTCTCCGGAGAGGATGAGGTCCTGGAAAATGTCATTCATCATCGTTTGGAACGTCGCGGGAGAGTTTGTCAGGCCAAAATACATCACCAAGGGCTCGAACAGGCCTCGGTTAGTCCGGAAAGCCGCTTTCCACTCGTCACCTTCCTTGATCCGGACGTTGTTGAAGCCCCAACGGACGTCGAGCTTGGTGAAGTAACGAGCGCCTTTGAGCCGGTTGATGAGGTCGTTGATCAGCGGAAGGGGGTACCGGTTTTTGACAGTCATCGCGTTGAGAGCACGGTAGTCCTGGACGCAGCGGAGTCCGCCATCCTTCTTCTTGACGAAGAAGACCGGAGACGCCATCGGAGACTTAGAGGGGCGAATCCGGCCCGTCGAAAGCCCTTCCTCGATGAACGCGTCGAGCTCGCGTTGCTCGAGGGGCGAGATGGGGTACACCTTGCAGTTGGTTGGCTTAGCGTCGGGGACGAGTTCAATGGCGTGGTCCCAGGCTCTCCGTTCCGGTAGCGTATCGAAGGACTCCTTGTTGAAGACGTCCTGGAACTCCTTAGCCCAGTCCGGGATCTCGGAGGGCGCAGGGGCGGAGTTCCTGGCGAAGGCTTCGGCCAGGCGATGCGAGACGGTGCTACCTGCGCGTATCTCCTCCAAGGGACGAAACGAGGTGTAGAAGATGCGGTCACCATCTTCGAGCTAGTCATCTTCGTCATCCGAGTCCGAGTCCGTTGTCAGATCGGGCAGGTTGGAATCGAGACCGGAATCGGAATCGTCTCCGTCCTCAGGGCCAGAGAGGTCCATAGTGCAAACCGAGGGGAACGGGCCGGAGCGGAGACGTTTCTGGAGCGACCGGAGTCGCCGCAACTCGGTCTGTTCGACGTGTTCCTCCTCGCGGCAGGTTGAGCAATTGCGGGGGCACCGTGTCATCTTGACCTCCTTGGTTTCCCAATTGATCTCTGGGTTATGTTTCCGCAACCAGGAATACCCCAGGATGAGGTCTTGCTTGCCAAGATGGGTGACGGCCAGTTGAACTCGTTCGGCATGGCCTCTGTAGCGCAGGACCAAGTCCGCGATCTGTTTGATGGAGCCAGCGTCATTGGGGGTGCCATCGACATTGAAGACCGGAATCGGCTGATCGAGGGTGCGGACCGGAATGCCATTCCGAGCAACATAGTTCGTGTCAATGAAGTCAGAGGTGGCACCACAGTCGACAAGCCCAGATAGTGAGAGCTTCAGCGCGCTGGTGGTGGACTCTAGCTCCAATGGGAGGTGGAGGGAGTTCGCCCCAGGGGCAGCAGCAACAGTGTACTGCTTGGGTAGTTTCTTTTCCCAGGCAGTGAGGCGAAGGACGATGACCGGAGTCGGGCGGAGTCGGAGACAGAGTCGAGGCGGGGGCAGGAGAGGGTGTGTCCTTTCGTTTCGGGCTCATTGTAGGGCAAGGAACTGCATTCATCATACAAAGAGGCAAAACGATTTATAGACGCGAACGAGGGCACACCAGTCACTCGTCGCGGGGGACAAAATCCTCTCCGGCCATCAACTCCGCTGCCGTCTCCGGCAGGGCAGCTGTGTCCGTGTAGCGGGCGATCAACTCCGCTAACATCTCGTCACCGAGTTGTTGGATCACCTCGTCGAGGATGTCCATCGAGCGGACATCGGCGGGAGGGGGGCAATCCCGGGCGAGATGGTTTGGGTCGCCGCACCTGATGCAGGCGCGACGAGGGGCACCCCGAGCCCTGGTGCGATCCAACTCCATAGGGGACGGGAGCTGGAGGCGCCGGAGCGGGGCGCGGGCCGCGGGTGGCACGACTGGAGCCACCGGGCAGAAAGGGGCCGGAGCCGGGATGCGGTTGACCGGAAACGGAGTCTGAATCAAACCGCCAGGCGTCTTGGGGGGGCGGCTGACTTGATCAGCTTGGCCCGGACCAGGGCCTCGTATTGACGGAAGGCCCGGGTGCGCTAGCTAAGGTAGTCCCGGAGGTCCGGGGGTCGTTCGAGGACGTGATTCCGTTGTTGATCAGGGGGTCAAGTCCGTGGCGGAACTTGGTCACCTTGACCAACGCGTCTTCGAATCCGGCGAGGTCCATCAGGTCCTCGAAGTCGTCAGTGTACTGGTAGACATCCTTTGTGCCCATGTGATAGGCGGAAGTCTCCAGCTTGGAGAGAGCGTGATCTTGCTCGTTCTCCTCGACGAACCGGAGTCGAAACTCGGAAACGAACGAGCCCCAGGACGGAAACGGAAACGGGGCTTTGCTTCCGTGGCGCTCCGCCCATTGCTGAGCGGGTCCTTCTGCCATGAACGACATGGCATAGCGGGACGGCCTTTTTCCTCGCTCGCCTCTCCGTTGACCACGAAGGCCTCAGGGGCAAGGCGGGCGTAGGTGCGGACCGCGAGAGAGAACGCGGCGGCTGCGTTCCCGGTCGCCGTTGAAGGTGAAGGGGGGTTTGGTCGCAAGACCAATTTTGAGGCGAGGTTGATGTCGCCAAAAAGGGCTTCGGAGTCGCCCTGGACCGGAGTCAGAGTCGGAATCGACGTCTCCGGCGAAGGTGTTTGGGGTCCGCCAGCATTATTAGCGGCGGCAGGCGGCAGCGGAAGCCTGGTTGGTGAGTAAAGCAAGGGCCTCGGTTAGGCTATCGATTTTCGCCTCGAGTGAGTCCAGCCGGGCATCTGCGGTAGGAGTGACTCCGGACGGCATGACGGGTGCGGGGACCACAGGAGTAGAGGAGGAGGGGACAAGTGGCAGGGGCGGTGACGAGGGCGGAACGGACTCGTACTCCGAGCCTGAGTCAGCGCCGAACCTGGCAATCTTGTCCGGTTGATCCCGTAGAGAGTTTCTTCTGCTGTAAGGGCAACCCCGGAGGCCTGAGATCAAGGTCCTAGCAGGGGAGGATCCAAAGTGTGAACATTGGTAAGCGAATACAGATGAAGCTGACCTAGCAGGGGAGGATCCAAAGAGAAGAAACTCTGAGGGTCCGCCTGCTAGGTAGCTGACTATATACTGCTTGTCCGTAGCTGCCGCTGTCGGGCACAGAAGGCTTGGGTGGCATCGCAGGCGAGGTCCCAGGGCGACCGTCGGGAGGGCGTTGACGGATCGGTGATTGTGCGGGCGAGATGGAGGGCCGGACCGGAGTCGGAACCGGAATCGGACCGGAATCGGGCGCGTCTCCGGGCCGAAAGGGAGGTTCCCCTGGCAGCGCAGGTGCCAGAGGCCCTTGTAATTAATCAACATAATTAGTATCCCATAATAATAATAATAAAGTGAATCACATCAAAACTGACAACCAAGCCCCTGATAATAGTACCACTCATAATCAATGTCAGGTCTAGATTCTATTTGACAAGAGACCATAGATTATAGTAGACCTATAAGATATGGTCAAGCATACTAGTACTAACAGTATATAGAAGCACTATTCTATTATATATAAAGCAAGCCACAGTGGATTGAAACCCTTGACTTGACAGTCTTGTACACCACTGGCAAGCACAGAAATAGCTTGGACCATAACACTCATACTGCAAAGCAATAAGTATACTAACTAGAAGTACTATCTTGAGGAATTACTTCAACAAGTTTTTATTTAATATTCTTCACAAATAAAAAATTATAAAATCCCAAGTTTTTGTAGTCTATTTATTGGTCACTCAATTTTTCTGCATTCAGAGAAATCTTCAGGTCTAAGCCTTGCTTGTGCACTTGATTTAATGGCTTCAACAATGCCCTGAGGTCCGAGTCCGCGTCCTCTTGCAGAATCCCCAATTGGAAGGATTGCAGCTGTGCAGCAGCAGCTGGCTGTGGTGTTTTCGAGCTCTCGTCGGAATCGCTCTCATTGCCATCCGGAGGAGACTCAGGAGAGGACCATGACTCCGAGTCGGGAACCGCACTTCCCCATCGGGTTATCACTGTCTCAACCCATAATCGGACGGTTTCCAGAGAGGGATTCTCTAAATACCATCGGTCGACAACCAAGGCCGCCAATCCCGGGAACCACGCCCCTCGGCGTACCTCCTGGCAGAATTCGCGGGTTTCGAGGTAGTCCCAGGGAAGATCGGCGAGTGTTAGCTTCGCCAACATCGGCGGCATAGACGCGACAATGGACCGGATGAACATGAATCGTATGTGGGAAAGTGTAAGGCAGCGGAGAGACATGATTTTCGAGCGTAGCATGCAGTCTTCGATTGCCCTTGAGCCGCGATCGACGATGTAACTGAACGTGACATCCTGGAGTGCGGGCAATGTTAAGTACTTGAGGACATGGGTGCTGACATCGCTGGTACACCGCAGCTCGCGAAGACATGATAGCGGACATGGGATATCACTCGCCCGCGCAATATCGTTGAAGATCTTCAGGTGTAAAATTTCAAGTCGAGGGGTATGCCGTAGGAGGGCGACGACCTGCTGCACGGAGGGATCGGAGCTAGAGATGACTAGTTTTGCGAGGTTGTCGAGGGAGAGCCCAAGGGTGAACGGGGCCTTGGCAGATATTGTGTTCAGGGAGCGGAGCCTAGGCGTGAACCTGCTTTTGACTTGTCCCAGATGGGCTCGCGGAAGGAAAGTCCCGAGATCGAGTGTTTCGAGCATGGGCAACAATTCAGGTAGGCAATCCAGCGATGAAAACAACTGGTCATTGGATAGCCGAATCTTTCGCAAGCGGTCCGCGCCGGAGGACAACGTGGCAAACGCCTCAGCGAGGGACGAAGTGTCTTCTTCAATAAAGTGAAAGTGGACATCGAGAGGTTTGGCGCTACCACAGCGGCCGAGGAACGTCCAAAGAAGCGTATTGCATTGCGCGGAAGAAAGAGACGCCCATGACACAGTCATGTCCGTCCAGAGCATCGTCGTTGACAGTGCGAGCTGTCGCCAAGTACGACACACGCTCGAAAGCGTGAGGGACGGCAGCGTGCGTGAATCGAGATTGGATTCTTGAGAACCCAATACAAATGCCCAGATATAGATCGTCACATCTTCAGGCAGCGTCAGGATCGGGTACTTGGTCTCCATGAGCCGTGCATGCAAACCGGCCTGCTGGCCCTCGAGAAACACGATCTGTTGTCGGAGAGTGGTGATTTGGGCGTGAATATCTGTGATTTGGGCCCTGAGCAGGGCCGCAGCTGTCGACATGGTCGTGGTCGGGAATGAGGAGACGATGCATCATTGATCTGCGGGAAACACGTAAAGACACGTCTACAAAAGGGAACGTGATTCGCACTGGCACGTGCGCCTTCTCGGACAACAACAGCATATCCAGCCACATATTCATACTACTTACCTAGGTTTATTATTTATGTAGCTCGCTCGGGCAAATTGAGCCCTACGGAAGTTGCTAGGCTGGTTCTCGCTAGCAGTGTTGGCAGATCCGGATCCCCCCCATGATTGCCCTTCAATCCACGCGTCTCCCCCGCCTTGACAGGGGCCTTCGATTCGCGTCATCCCACTGGCGTCACAAGCGGAGAAACGGCGAAACTTTTTTTTCATCTTTATCGCTTTATACATGCGTATCACCCTATCGGAATCAGTGTTGCCTGACTACGTGCTTTTGACGACGATGGTGAGCCCATCCACCACTACACCTCTGCGCATCTCCGTCGTCGGCGCCGGCGTCGGCGGGCTTGCCGCTGCGACGGCGCTACGCAGGAGCGGACATATTGTCCAGGTGGGTGCCATAGGTTTCGTGGAATGTTTGTCACTCAATGCCACGCAGATATTTGAAGCCGAGCGAGAGTTCACCGAAATCGGTGCCGCGATCATCGTCCCACTGAACGCACAGCGAGTGCTCGAGAAACTGGGCTACGCCGTGGAGAACATCAAGCCAGTGCAGTACCTCGGTGTGAGTTACTAACGTTGTACGGTCTTGAGATAATCGAGACAGATACTAGACGGAAGCATTCGATGCTTTGACGGGCGATCGCAATTCGTCGCAATGGATGATTCCCCTTGAAAAACCTGTGCCGTTTTTTTGCTGCCCTCTTTCCTTCTCTTGAATGCAGGCAGAACCTGATGTGTCACCGGAGCGACCTCCTCAACGAGCTCCTCCGACTTGCGACGGGCGCTGCAGGCGAAGGGCCACCAGCGACGCTGCGCTTCTCGAGTAAAATGATTGCCTGCGATCCCGATGCGGGATCCATCACGCTCGAGGGTGGTGAAGAGATCGTCAGCGACGTGGTTATCGGTGCAGATGGCATTGGGGTGTGTGTAAATCTCCATCATATAGTGTTTCTGAATGCGCCTGTGCTCCGTAGTCCTCAATACGGACGGCAATCTTGGGAGCCCCCGTTAACTCGCTCTCGTCCGACTGGACATGCTCCCGCGCCTTGATCCCCATGGCCGCCATCCACGCCAACCCTGCCCTGAGCTGGATAACAGAGGGCATCCCCGGCGCCCGCATCGTCATGAAACGTGGGCCCAAACCCGGTGATGTCAACGTCCTGTTCTTGTACCCGTGTCGCGATGGAACACTGCTCAACTGGGCGGGGGTGTACTCTGACGACGGACACGAGGACCCAGGTGCGCCACCTTCCTAATTCTGTCATTTGAATTCCCATCTTCGCATAGAATGGCAGCCTGCGTCCGCCTTGACGACTCTCGCGCCGATATACGGCTCCTTCCAGCCCCAGTTCCGCGAACTCCTCACGCTCCTCCCGTCCGAGAAGCCCATCCCAAAGTGGCAGATGCGCTACCTCCCGCCATTGCCAACGTGGATTCGAGGACGGGCGGCGATCCTTGGTGATGCGGCACATGCAACGCTGCCGCTCATGGGCCAAGGAGCCGCAATTGCAATTGAAGATGCAGGTGCCTTAGGAGGGGTTCTACCGGCGGGCACGAAGAGTGCACAAGTCGGGGAGAGGTTGAATATATGGGAGAAGCTCCGGAAAGAGAGGGGAGAGTGGGTCGGAAGAGAAAGTGTCCAGCAGGGGAAAGTGAAGGAGAAGATTAGAGAGTTCTATCGATGTGAGTGTGCTGATGCATTTGCAGGAGTTTGTACTTGATGCTAATGCGAAATACAGCGAAGGACATGCAGGAGTTCATATTCAATCACGACGCGGTCAAGATCGCACGGGATGCGCTGGCAAATGAGTAAAAGGTCGAGTTCAAGTGAAGGCGTTAAAATCGATTTCATTGTCCTTTTTTTTTGGGGGGGGGTATATCATGGCTTTCCCGTATCAAGATCCAAACGCATCGATAGAGCGTCCTCCCCATCTCCGTCTACATTTGTTATTAGCCAGTCTCGGTAGGCTTTGATTTGACACGCACAATATTTTGCCTCGACTTTGGCGACCTTGAACCCCAGCGCGCCTTGATACAGCGCAATCGCCGCCTTGTTTGACCTCCGGACATGCAGGGAGACGTAATTGGCTTTGTAGACCGTCGCCATCGCTTCCTCTACGCACAGCTTCAGTATTGGTGCCCCCGGAAGCAGAAAAACGCACGAGAAAGCAGCATGAGCTTCTTAGCCAGGCCCAGACGCCTATACGCCCGCAAGACGGAGATGGAGTTGACGTGGCCGTGGATCTCTGCGGGCTTCCCGTTGTCGTTCTGGGGCTTGTTGCCCGACTCGTCTTCCTCTGCCTCTTCTCTGCTTTGAGTGAGCATCGTGGGCTACAGGGAGACCGGGAAGGGGAGGAGGGCAAAAGAGGCAGCGTAGCACAGGGAGGCAGAAAAGAGGAGCGATGTTAAAAGAACCGCACACGCACATCTTGGCCAGGACATATCCCACAATACGCCCCTTCTGGTCCTCCGCGACGAAAGATATCTGCGGCCACGTCATTGCGTGGTATATCCCTGCAAACCCGTCAGCATCGTCGCAAGCGGAGAGGGCAGAAGGCAGGAAAAAGAGAACAACGCACAGAACTTCATGGAGTAGTTCTCGGGGAGGTTCTGCAAGTTGGCTGCCTGGATGGCGAGCAGGTCGTCGGGCTACTGTCGGGCCATCGTTAGCGCTCGTGGTTTCGCTCGTCAAACGAGGCGCTTGGGAGCAAGACTGCAGACCTTGGCGAGGCGGATGCTCATGGTGAAGAGCTCGGCAGGGGTGTGGAGCTGACCGGCCGGACAGCGAGCAGAAGGTTTTTGTGGATGACGCGAGGAAAGAAAGCTGGGCACAGCATCACGGTCACTCAGCGAAGACCACAACCTCATACGAAAACCGTCACCTCTTTCTCCCTATATTCTAGACACTAGAGAGGTGCACAAGAAGCACGGCGCTCCTTCATATATCATACGACAAAATTATCCCACAACGGAATTATATCGTGAACAAGCATTAAAATACCAAGATTCTGCATATAATCTTCCGGCAAAGTGCACTCTTCAGTGAGAGAACTACACCGTCCAACGACAGGCCGTATTAGGGGGACTTCGGAGCAGGCTGCGGGCATGAGGTCCCTGAAGAACCGGCACTGACACGGTGACTGCCGTCGTTGCGACTCGAGTCACTCGACTGCGGCGCGTAGCTGTTGCGACTTCGAGACTGCAAGTGTGCTGTGGCCGCACTACTAGCATCACTATCTTCCCGCCACGACATTCAAGTTCTCCAAGCATCAACTTTCGCTAACACATACTCTCTCCTGGCGGGCTTTGGGCAAGCTTTCTGGGTATTGCTCCAACTCCCGCATCCATTACTTATCTCTCTGGACGCGTATTACGATCAGTGCTGAGCGCTGTGACACACCCTTCCTCTTCTCCCGATAATCATGATTTTGACGACATGCAACTAGAGCGAAGAAGAGACTCGCAACAAGACCAGTACTCGGATCATACTAGTAAATATAATTGTCGGCAAGTTCTCAGCTCGGTTCTCAGCGACCCCACTAAAGTCGGCATAGTCAGGCGTCGGACCCATGGATGTGCCGTGGTTAGTTCTCGCTCGGATCGCGACCTTCGATGATAGCGACTTTGTGCTACGATCCGTTACTTGACCGCCCGGTACTGGCGTTCGTCGCGAGCAAGGAGAGGAACAGCACCTTTTTCTGGTCTGAGTCTTCCAGTCGGTCTCCTTCTAGTGACTGGTATCCGTTTCAACTCCCTTCAAGTCGCCGGTGGGTGATTGGTCTAAGCTTTGTTTCGCTGCTTCACCATTCAATTGCTAGTCCAGGCGCAAATCCAACAACGCCGCGCGCAATACATTGTCGCCGAATACCCCTCTCCGATCCGCTATTGGTGCAGTGTTGCCTTGATGGATGGCAATTCCGTGGATGCGATACCAATATCTATTCATGCGATATGCTATTCTTGTGTGCTAGCCCGCCTTTTGCCCGAGAGATGAATGACTTGCGTGGGTTCATTGGCCGGTCCCCATACGATATAAGTATCTGACCCATACACACGTTTCCAAGTCTGGAGGCCCTAGTTCAGCAATGCCGGAATTTGACCCAGACTCTACATATGGTGCGTCAGTCAAGAGTCCGAGCAAGTTTAGCATGCTTAGTTATCATTTAGGTGCTCTCCTCATCGGTGCACTTCTTTCCGCCGTATTGTTCATCACACCACTTTACTGGCATTTCGTCCGTCCTCATCGCGCAACAGATTCGGAGTGTCCACCGTGCAAATATACCTCTACTACACCCGCTTCCCGGATGATCATCGCAGCATCAAGGCGCTAGTTCTGACGGTCTGGTAGGCTTTTTCCTGCTTAAAGTCTGACCACTCAATATGATGATCAGGCTCTGTGAGGTCCTGCACCTGGCCTTCGTCAGCCACAATCTATATACTTGGCTTGTCACGGACTGGGGCCACCACCCAGAGCGTCTCCTTGCGAAAGGCCCCGTTTTCCCTTGGTGCCGCAATCGTCATCACCACTTCAGTCTCCTCAGGCTGCTTCGGTGTGTCCCCGAGAACTTCCGCCGTATCCTCCATTGATACTAATATCCCCCTAGTCCAAGGCTTCTTCTCCTGGCGCATTCAAGTTTTATCCCGCTCCCCTTTCGTCGCCGACCTGACATACGCCCTGACCATCGTGCGCTTCGGGTTCGGCTGCGCCATCGCGGCATTCAGCGAGCGCTCCATCAGGAAATACCCCCCCAGGTAACCTATACACAATTCGATATAATTATTGATAATTATCCACCATTATCTCATTATACATAATTATCCCACAAGCACGATAATTTTTGTTCTTACTCGATAATTTAGGGCAAATGTGATATAATTTAGCGCTACTATTCAGTGAATATATGCTCACTCTTCTTCTTCATTCATGCAGGGGAAGGCACAAGAAAAATATGTATTCAAAGAGTATTTACAACACATCATATATATCTGGTCAGCAATGCTCCAAGTTCCCCCACCGTGATAAACGAGGGCCGCGCTGATAATAACTCCTCGGCCCCGGAGTAGGGACAGCGGGACACGGATGGTCGGGTACCGCTGCACAACAGGATAAGTAAGTTCCGAGATGATCAGAAGGGTACATACCACTTCTCAGACAACGGGCGGCGGGTGGCCTGCTGGCCTCGGGACAACGGCGGGATTTGCAGCCCCATATAGACGCGGGTATGTGATCGAGGGCCAAGGAACGCGTCGCAGCGTGGTGCAATGGCGCAGAAGTTGCGTCGTTGCTTTAGAAACATGAGATCAGCACTTGAATTCAATACGAAGGCTGAATGAACTCACCGAGCCTGGACGCTGCGGGACAATGGGGTCGCTCATCTGGCGATTCACACGACAGATAGGCGGGAATGTCCTCGCTGCCCTAGCACGCGGGCCGGAACACCGCTTACGCCGGCCGAACGACGCCGACCGAAGCGCCGAGTAAGTTCCAGGCCGAGCGCGTGAGGACTCGGCCCACCAGTCTGGAGTTGTGCGCACCAGAGTAGGCGGCGCGCAGACCCAGCCGCTGCCCCCGTTCCCTCGAAAACTTCAAGAATAAGAGGGCTAGACCGGCGCAACCTACAGTCAGAATATCAGCCTGAACGAACAAGAAAGGAGCCCGGGGCTCACCGGTCTCGCACAGACCGCGGTCAACAGCAACGACGACCTCTATCACCCTCCGCACCTCTTGTAGATGCGCCAAAACAGCTATGTGTCGCCTTTGGAGTCTCCCGTCCGTGCAAGACACACCCCGGGGCCAATCTCGGCCAGGATTGGCCCCGGGGTGTGAGAGTCGCGCCTGGCAGTAGTGAGCACCCTGCCAGGCGCAGGCCTGGTCCGCCTGGATCTGAGTAAGTGAAGGTAGTGGGCCAGGGGGAACATACATGAGTGGAGTTCGTCGGGGTTGGAGTCGTGGTGGTGGCGCAAGCCAGTGAGGGCGAGAGGAAAGAGAGGAAAGTGGTGTGACCAGAAAATTTTCGTTGACTGACATGGGAGATGATAGATCATTTGATCTGCTTTATTGCAACAGAAGGTGGTCATGTCAGATTTTGACATGCCGCCAGCGTTGCCGGGTGTTAGGCGATGCGGTGACTCCACAGGCCAAGCAATCAGGACCCCAGTGATAAGAATCAGGTGTCGCCGCGTCGGCGCGGCCGGCGATATTGGCTCCAGCGAGCTCCTCAGCCTCAGATACTAGTACATGCCGATGCCATGGTGCAGTCGGGGTAATATGTCCCGCCGCAACTATATCAATGCGGTCCAAGTTAACTGTGGCTGCAGTGGCAGGCGGAATTTGGCTTCACCGGACGGCGGCAGACTCGGCGGAGAGCCGGGGTTACTTACTTCGCAGCACATGCATTATCTACTCTTTTCTACTCGTGTCCGAGTCACGCGCGAGGGCAAACTGCGGCCTGACTTACCTACAACCTTCGGATGAGGCCCGAGGAACGTCGGAGGTCTGCATCCCATGATTCCCATGTTGTTCCCATGATTCATCACCCAGCGCTAAGATGAATTTGCCCACAACTCACAAGGAGCGCCAACAGTGAAGACGACCTTAGCGGATGTCCGTTAGCAACACCGCAACCCATTTGTGTGGGTGAACACCCGCCTTCATCTCAGTGAGCGTGAAGTTCTTCAAACACGCTCGCGGGCCGTCCAGGTAGACCATCTTGTGGTGGAAGACGGGGTACGGCTGAGCAGAATCGGGACCGTTTGGGCCGGGACCGAGCCGCCGGCGTCGCTGCAGTTGGACCGAGATGGTGAGCACCGTGCAGTTGCGAATAAGGAGACAGTTGGCGGGAATTGGAGTACTCGTAGAAAGCGGCCGCACGGAGTCGCGTTGGGAAGGAAAACGATGGGGCTACAAGGTGGGTCACAGTACCACCTTGCGAATGCTGCCATCGCCACTGACCATTGTTTGTGCCAGCCGTGGCCATGTGCCCGGGGAGAGGCGCAACATCTCCCCGTAGTCCACTCGGGCACCGGGGCACAAGCCTCAGGCTCCCACACTACCCCCCAAGTCTGGCCCTCTTTCGCCCTCCAAAATCAGCATCGACACTTGGACGATTCCCCCGTATGCCATGCCTCATCGCCATGCTCGCCTTCCTGCACGCGTAAGCCGCGACTTGACTGCGACTACCCACGTCCGCGTCCCCGACAAGGCCGGGTGTCTTCTGTCCCCCGGTGCGATTCCGAGATGTTGCAGGAGGCGAGGGACGTCGTCAACAATTATAATCACAGGCGTACCTGGGGATCCCATGCATCAAATGGTTGTCAAGAGAGACATGCCATGATGAATCAAGCTCTCTACCAGAGACCGGCTGAGATGCATCATGACAAGTCTCTCAGGCAAGCGGGGCAGCCCCCCACGCTGTCTTCTTGCAGCCGCACGCCGCCGCCTTACCGCCTGCCCGCCCCCGCTTCCCGCCCCTACGCTAGGCGTACGTCATTGCTCGTGGCCCTGGTGACCATCTATGTGTGACACATCGGACCGCCAGCCCGATCGCTTGGCACTTTGCCCGGCTCAGCACTCAGGCTTCCCGCGGCCCGCCGCCTTGCCCGCCGCCGCCTTGCCCTTTGCTTCCCGCCTCCCGCTCGGCGCTCATACGATTTGCCCCGCGTGTCGCTCATGCCGCCTGTTTCGGCTGTGTGCTCCCAACCATGATTCTTCGTGGCTAACAGTTTATCAGTAGCTGATTAGGCACAATATTGCATGGGTCGGGGTGGGACGCAGGGTGGGATGCGGGCGGACGTGCGGGGCGGGATGCGGGGGCATAGCCGCTTGTCAATGTGCCATCGGCTATTCTGCTTGGGGTTGATCGGCGTGT